CTACTCCCAGGTTACTGTTTGGATTATCTCGTGAGGAGCTGCCCCCTGAGTTCCTGGTGGAGAGCCCAGGGAACGAGGGGCTGGCTGACTGGGAGCTGGACCACCTGCTCTGGGCCCACACTGTGGAGAACATCGCCACCGTGTCCACCACCTTGACCTCGCTGGCTCAGCTCCTGGACAAGATTGGGAACATTGTCATCAAAGATGATGTTGCCTCTTTGGATTATCTCGTGAGGAGCTGCCCCCTGAGTTCCTGGTGGAGAGCCCAGGGAACGAGGGGCTGGCTGACTGGGAGCTGGACCACCTGCTCTGGGCCCACACTGTGGAGAACATCGCCACCGTGTCCACCACCTTGACCTCGCTGGCTCAGCTCCTGGACAAGATTGGGAACATTGTCATCAAAGATGATGTTGCCTCTGAGGTAGGGCTGGGGCACCCTGTGCTGGGGAGGGGGCTGGATGTCACTGTCCTGTGCAGACTGTGACCTCTTGCTGGTGTGATGCCCCGAGTGAGGCCCCTGTGCTTGTTTCTGTTGTCCTCCCTGACCAGGGACTGACCATCGGTGTTGTTCCCACACAGGTGTACCGAGCAGTGGCCGCGGTGCAGAGCGCTGTGGCTGAGCTGGCCACGGGCCACCTGCACTCGGCTTTCCAGGCCAGCAAGGAGGCAGTCACTTCCTCAGAGCGGGCTTTCTTTGACCCCTCTCTCCTCCATCTCCTCTACTTCCCTGATGACCAGAAATTTGCCATCTACATCCCTCTCTTCCTGCCCATGGCTGTCCCCATTCTCCTCTCCTTGGCCAAGATTGTCCGGGAGGCCAGGCAGCGTAAGAAGGACCCCACCAAGATGGACTGAGGTTGTTGTGATGATGCCCTGCCTTTGGCCTGGGGCTGTCCCCACCTCATGGAGCGTGTTCTCATGGACCTATAGCCTGAGAAGGTTCTCCAGAACGGTGAAAGGCCAGGCCCAGCAGCTCAGCTTGGGTTGGTGGTAGCCAAGACTCAGGACTGGGAGGAGAGGCTGCTTTGAGGGGTGGGAGATGCTCTCAATCTGCATCCTTCATTCAGCCCAGCAATGCTGAGATCCAAGAGGGGGTTGGAGTGTCTCCCTCTGTGCCCCCCCTGCACTGTGTTCAGAACAAGCTCCTGTGTAAATAAAGAACCACCCCCGTTGTGTGGGGGGCTGGTGTGGGTCTGGGACCTCGCTGTGCTCATTGCCCTTCCTGCCCCTGTACCCTGTTATTGTTTTAATGGGGTCGGGTTGTGGGGGACAGTTATGGGGTTCGTCAGTTGTTGGGACAGTTCTTAAGGGGGGTGGTCTCTCTTGATGATGGGTATTGGGGCAGAACCTCCTCGAGGACGCAGCTGCACCTCGCTGGGGTCCTACACGTGGTGTATTGGCCTGAGGCTCTGGGGTGGGCGGTTATCGGGGCCCCCCCACCCCATTTATAGGTCTGACCCCCCAACACCTGCGGCTCTGGGGACACCCACATGATTTGAGG